AGTCCTTCACATGCAAAGTGCCTGAAGTCTGGCTGGCTGTGAAGACACCCACCCCAAGGCAAGGGGTGATTCCTCCCGGACCCTCCCCATGGCCAGGGGCACTGCAGCTTTCCAGCTCGCCTCTGACCTGCGGCTGTAGGGATGCTCTGCCAGGGCTGAGGAGGACCCCCCTCGGTGATGACTGGCCGGGGGCCACGAGCGCCAGGACGCTGGTGGTCAGGGAAGCCGGCTCCGACGTGCCAGCAGCCCTGAGTATCCTGGATGGTCCTCTGAATACAGTCGACAGGCTGGGCACCCACCCAACCCAACCCACCCCACCTCACGCACCCTCAACTTCCCACCGCCTACCTTCCTGCACCCTCCCTCTGCCTCACCTCTCGTCACTCTACCCTCACACCACCTGACTACTACACCTCCCACAGCCCCTTCCACCCAATCCCTGACCACCACACCCACACACTGGTCCGAAATGGCCCCACCCGTCCACTTCCAAACCCTCAGCTCCCCTCCCACCTCCCCACACTCCGCAGCTCCCTCCAACCCACACCGCCCACCCACCCACCTCCCGACAACCCCCACCAGACCTACCCATACACACCAACATCCCACCCCACATATACCCCCACCACCCCACCTCTCCCCACCCCACCACACCACCTCTACCAGGGACCTGGGGAGGCAGAGCCCTGGGCCTCGTGAGCCTTGGAAGGTGGGAGAAGGAGGGGTTTAAGGGAGGCCCAGAGGGAGTAGCGAGGACCCCACCGGAATCCTTGTGCGCTCCTCGTGGCAGCCCCCAGGGGGATGCTCAGATCTGGCATCCCCATGAGACTTCATCAGACTTCCGCCTGGGAGGCCACTGAGCGGGGAGGGCCTTGGGCCTCGGTGTCAGAGGCCGGATTCAGGTGAACCCACAACAAATCCAGGTAGAACTGCGGGGGAGGCCTGAGGCCCAAGCCCAAGAATTCGGGTGGGGGGGCCATGGTGTCACCTCAGGCTGGGCCCTCCGACCCCCATATGCCACACTGATGCCGCTGCCTGCCATTATCAATTGTGAGAGTGAAGGCCTTGGTCTGGGGAGGGAACCCAGGTGGGCCGAGGGCGGGGGCACAGTCCGACCGGGAGTCAACGGGAGGCCAGGAGGGAGGGCCGAGGGTGCCCCCGGAAGCCACCATGCTGACGATCCCTTTCCCAGGCCGGCTCCTCTCAGGGCTCAGAGCTTTGCAAACCTGTTCTAGAGCCGACCTGGGTGACAGTCAGGGTCAGGGACCNATGTCTAGCTAAACACGTGGGCACATTCCTTAGGAGTGCTTCTGTGTGCAGGGCGCCTTCTGGAAAGTAACCCAACAGCAAACAAGGTTGTACCACACACCTAGCATCCGGGTAATGGCAGGAGAGGGACACACGAGGGGTGGGGGCGGGCTTGGGGCACGGAGACCAGGCCTGGCGTGGAGGGAATGAGGTACATGTGTACCATTTCTGCAGAACAATATATGCCGAAGCCCAGAATCCAGTGCTGAAAAGGGAAGGTGCCAGAGAGGACCAAATCAGGAAGCGGGAGGCCAAAAACTCAAGGGAGCAGAAGCCAAACTACCCCGCCACAGGGAGGAAACTCGGCTCCGGGATGGAGGCAGGCCGCCAAGGGGCAGGGGGGCTGGAGCCGAGTGTCTGGGACAGCTGATTGGAAAGGGCCAATGCAGGTGGTCCCCAGGCCAGCACGTCTCGGGCAGTGAGAAGAGGTTCTATGGGGAGGAAATGGCACTAAAGACAAGCGCATTGTGATCTACAGAGGGACGAGATCTGGAGGCAAGCAGAGCTCAAGGGGAGCGTGCCAAGCGCAGCAGAGGCGCGGGGCCACCCGAGCACACGTCGGCACTGGGGGCCACCATGGGTCTGAGTGGCTGTGGCTACCACCGAGGTCGAGGAGCTGCAGGAGCTCTCCCGCACTGCTGAGCACAGCCTGACTCTGTGGACAACGTGACCCCAGGGGCAAGACTATAGGACTCTCTGTTTGGGCCCAACTCTGGTGTGAGCAGCACCGACCAAGCAGCAGGAGCAGATGAGCCGATGGAAGAAACCAAGTGGGGTGGCTTGGTGTGGGAGGGGAACACGGGGAGAACTGGCGAGACTAGGATGACCCGCCCGTTGGGACCGCCACCCCTGGGAGGCACAGGCCCCCAGGGACCCAACCGCCGTGGGCGGACTTGGTGGAGGCCACACTAGGACTAAACAGGGCCTGGCCCTTGAGCAAAGCAGAGAAGCCAGCAATAGGCCTCCCCCGCCTCTAGGGGTGGGAGTGGGCACGGGATCATGGATTCCCAGCCCAGCTGGGGCCCGGCCTGTGAATGAAAATGGGTGCCTGGCAGCACATGGGAGCCCCCTCTGGGAACGCCAACCACACCGCTCCAGGCTTCTCCCAAAGACTGAAGTGGGGCACCCCACACCCATCCCCTCCCCCACTCAGGGCCAGGGCTCCTCTACAGGCCGGCCGGGAGCCACCTTTGTGACATCGTGTGGCAGCCAGAGGATGATGACCTAAGCAGTGGGTTGCCCCCCTACCAAGACCTCTTCCAGAGGGAGATCCTTCACCCGACTGGCTCAGACAGAATTTTTGAAACGGACAGCCTGACGACTTCCATCCACCCAATGAACCTGTATGGATTCAGCAAAATATGCCCTGACGACCCTTGCGCGTGCTCTCCAGGGAACAAGAGGATGATGGTAAAGCAGAAAGTCCTTCCGTTCCCCGTGTTGTGTCACTCCCACCCCTCCTGAGTACACCCAGGGGACCGTCACACGCAGAGGGTTTAGCTCCCGAGGGTGACTTTTTTTCCTCGTGAGACGTTACTTACCGAGAGATGAGATGGTATGGATGGATCCTCAGGTTACACTACAGCCCCTTAGAGACGACCTGCAGGTGTGACCACAGGCTGAGGCCAGTTAACCCCAACTAGCGACAGTAACACCTTAACCGCTGCATGGCCGATCTTCAGCACACTCAGGCTGTAAAGCCTAATCCAACTTGCCAGCAGTTTAAAAAAGATGTCTTCTCCAGAGTGAAATGAGACCATTTGGACCGGGAGTGTGGGGGAGGTGGTGGCGTGGGGGTGGGGGGAAGGATGGGGGGAAGGTGGTGGTGGGGGGAGGCGGGGAGGGTGGACAGAGGCCGGGGGCGGGTGGGGAAGGAGGGAGTGGAGGGAGGGGATGGGGGAAGAAGGAACAGTCTCTCCTGGAATGACTGAAATGATTTTGTTCCAGATCTAGTGCAACTCCAACTTTCAGAGAGACAAGCCTCTGCTGGTGGAGAATATGGTCCAGAGAAGAGGTTACCTGAGGAGCGCCACCCAGCCGGGGAGATGCGCCACAGCTCCAGAAAAGCCGGTAGCCACTGTAAGAAGCTGCCTGTGCGTCTGCGGCAGGGAGTCCTCCAGAGCAGCCAGCACAGGGGCCCAGCATGAAGGCCCAAGGGCTCAGGGGCTCGGCACCAGCGCTCTCCTACCTTCCCTGGCGCCTGGTCTATGAGCACTGCAGCCCGCTGTCCCACGCACAGTTGCTCCCCTAGGGAGCCACAGGGCCCAAGCGGGGAGGGCACGTCCAGGAATGGGATGTGCGCCCCCAGCCACTGCCGGAAGCGACAGTGCAGGGGAGCCGTCCAGCAGCCCCCCAGCTGACCCAGATTAAGGTAAGGGTGATGGCCTTGTGCAGCAGCTGTTATTCCATCCTGCTGGCCCCCCTTATGTTCATGGCCCCAAAGGAGGCCCCTGAAGGGCGTGAGCAGGAAGAGAGCTCCTCGGATTACGAGTGTTTTCTGTAAGCAGTTCGAGGGTAAGCTGGCTCCCTAATCTCACAGGCCACTGGTGGTACATTAAAAAGAAAAGCAAAGAAAAACCCCACCATTCTGTAGCCATGGACCTATTTTTGGCTTTCATAAATGACAGCAAACCCCTGTGGGATCAAATAAACAATCGAATGGGAAGCCTTCGAGTCTGTGGTTCTTTCTACCTTGCTGTCCCACACAGACCTCAGCATAAGCCCGAGGTGGCTGGAAATCCTGGCCCGTGACGAGCCTTGGCTCCCGCTCTCCTCTTAGACTCGGAGCACCATGTGCACACCAAGTCCTCAGCCGAGGACTGGGCTGGGGTGCACTGAGGCAAGCTGACGCAGACCCTGTCCCCTGAGCCTGGGCTGCTGCTCAGGAGACGCAACAGCCTCGCTCCTGACCTCAGGGGCATCTCCTTACTTTAGTCCCATATCCTGACACACGAGGGTCTCTCCCCACGGCTGCCCCTAAGATGTGCCAGGGCGCTCCTGAACAGCAGCTGAGCATCTCCAGCCCACGATCCAGGAGCCTGGCAGAGAGGCCCACATAAAAGCAGGGCCACCCCCTCTGCTCAGGGCTGTACAACCCCTCCGTGGTCTGGCTCAGAAGAGAGACGGGCCGTGCCCCAGCCAGCACCGGGGGCAAAGCCCATCGTCCTCATGGGTGACGCACCCTACCAACTTTGTTAAGAAACCACCCGAAAGAAAAGACAGAAAGGTTCCCCACAACACAAAAACCACCACCACCGAACACTTTTCTGTTAGAGCTGTATTTAGGGCCCCTTCCTTGGACATCAAGTTGCTGGAGGGACAGGTCCAGCACGCATGCTTCATGAGCCAGCAGACACTGTCACAACGGGGCAAGAGTCACAAGCAAGGACGGACAGGGGCTCGCTCCACTTCTAAGCCTGATGTCCCCTTGCTCGTGAACGAGGCTGTCCACGGCTGGCCTCTCTCGGGCCATCATTTGGCACCTGCTTGTCCCCCGGGTGCTGGTCGAGCCTTCCACGAGTTTTGACCAGAGAGGGGAGGACACGAAGCAGGGCTCTTAAAACACGCTTCTTTGTACACTCCAGAAATCAGCCGGACCAAAATCAGTGGCAGCGCAAGGACATTCACTGGCAGCTTTCCCTCTGCCCTAAAGGTCAGAGTCCCTGAGCATCTGTCGCTAGCCGAGGGGGTGTCCTGCAAGGACAGTTCTGCTCCCCGGTCCCCTGCAGCCGAGTGGGGACCTGCTTAGGGGAGCAGCACACTCTGGGCAGCGCTGTCCATGGCTGCCGATCCAGCTCGCAGCCGACTCGACCGTGCGTGGCGCGGGACCGGCTGATGGGTCGTGATTGGCCTGCTCTCTTGGCAACTTTCCTCTGAGGCGCCCATGCTCGTCAGGCCTCCCGCCCGAGGGAATCAGGTGCTCCGGGATGTCTACCTGGAAGACATCCTTCCCGCCTCTCCTGGGGATGGGCTCCAGTAGCCACCTGGGGTTGGCCAGGGTGGTCAGGTACTTGGGCTTCAGGTCGGCCAGCACGGCTTGGCTTTCCAGGTGTGCAGCCTCGTCAGGAGCTAGGAGTTCTGGGCACCGCACAGTGTCCCCAACGTCCACGAGCCCTGTGCAGAAAGGGAGAGGCACCTGGATGATTTACCTCTGTAAGCCCAGGGCTGCCTGGGGGACAACGTGCTCACTCAACTCATGCTACCCCCTCCAGGAGACTGACGCAGTATCGCCAAGCGGGCACGGAGGAGTGAGTGGGGTGCCTCCCAGTCAGCGTTTCCCATGAGCCAAATGCTGCTCGGGGAGCTCTGGGTGAGGCCACAGGAGGCAGAGAAGCCGAGAGCAGAGGGCCTTGTCCTGCACGACCCCACCCAAGTCACGGGCAGGCCCCAGTGACACTGCTGAGGGAGGGTGGCAGATACCAAGGGGCCCCTGTGGGGGACAGGCCCTCAGGTCCCTGAGCACTTCCTCAGGTGACATGGAATCTCGGGGTGGCAGGGACCATGGTGCGGCAGGCTGTGGGGCTGGGGCAGGTATGTGGAGCCACACAGGAAGCAGCCTGGGCCCAGAGGCACCCGGACCCCCTTTGTGTCATGCTGCTGCACGTGCACAAACACAGAGACAGAGGCAAACGCCACGTGCACACTTGGACCTGGCCCTGCTTCTCAGAGCTGCACTGAGTCCCAGAGTGGAGAAAGGGCTAACCCGAGCTCCCAAGCTCATGCAAGCCCAGCTCCACCACCCGCAGCCCGGGGCCAGGTGCATTGCCACTTGCCAGCTACTACTCCACGGCCGTACTTCTCCCCTTCCCGAAGCAAGGCCTCAAGCTGAGCGGGGGTCATCCCCAGCCTGTCCACCAGCAGCTTCCTCCAGGTGGCATCTTCCCAGTCCCTGACGGCAATGTGGATAGCGATGGTACAGCTGCGGTAGCCGCTCAGCAGCGGATGCCAGCGTGTCTCCACCGTCTTGACCCCGTTTAATACAAAACCTGCATAAGGCTGCCGGAAGGACAGGCAGCCGAATGTCATCTTCCCAGAGCTCCTCGGACCTCCTACGGCCTGCGGAAGCACAGAACCGTGGATGTCAATGAGCATCGTCCAGCAGCCCTCCAAGCTCACGGCCCATGGGCCTGACCTCTCCCCAATGTCCCTGGGTGCCCGAAATCCCAGGGACCAGGATGCTGGGCGAGTGGAGATGGTTGCCTCCTCTCTTCCAGTGCCACGCAGTCAGCTGACAGGAAGGGAGGGGGTGCGTCACTGGGGGGGACTCATCCAGCAGATGGAGTCTCTGGGGAGCTTGTGAAGGTGGGTGGGGACAGTGAGAGAAAGGCACGGGCCCCAGAAGGCATGTGTTCTCTTCGAGGACCAAGTTCACTGAGCCCCAGGGCAGCTCAGAGGATGGAGGGAGGGCCCCTTGTTTTCACAGCCCAGCGCACCGGCTCTAGCCCTCTCCCAGCACAGACAGCCACAGTAATGAGGTTCGCGTCTTCTCCCACCACCATCGGTACCCCAAACCCCTTGGCTCCCTGGGCCTGCCACCGCCAAGGCCCTGCAGACCCCAATCTCTCCAGCCCCTACCCCAGGGCTGACAAGCACACATCCTCGGGGTGCGACCTCAGCTCAGGCCTGGGGGCACCCTGTGATCTCAGATGGCCTCTGTCACCTCACCTGTCTCCTTCCCAGGCCTCTGGGCGCCACCCTCCTTCAACTGCCTCCCACAGCACTGTTCTAGCAGATGTCCTGCCCTGCGTGAGCCTACAAGGAGAAGTTGAAAGAGAGCAGGGCCATGTGGCACCAGTGCACATGCACCCTCTCCTGGCCAGGTGCTGGGATGGGCACGACCCACAGGTCACAGAGTTTGATCCTCAAATAACCTGGTAGGGGCAGTACCTGTCACCCACTCCACTGCTGAGAAGCAGCTGCCGAGGAAAAGAGAGACGGCCCACGATTCCAGGGCACTTGAGTGCACGCCCTGTCCTCCCCTCCTGTCCTGGTGCCTGGAGCAGGGGTCGTGGGGTTCTGCCTCCTGGCTGGAGGATAGAGCTGTGCAGTGGGAAGAGCGGGGCCCCAGGCCTGAACCTCAGCTGGGTGGCGGCATCTCTCAGAGCCTCTGTCTCCACGTGACTGTGAGGACGGGAGGCAAGGTGCTGAGGGCACCTAGCCCAGTACCTGGCACCTAACAGGACAGTCACAGACGGTGACCTCCCATCGTCGTCATGGCGCCCCACCCACGAGCACCCGCACCCTGCCTCCTCCCTCCTCCCTATCTTTCTATAGGTCAACCTGACCTCAACCACATCCTCTTGTTTAAGAAAACTCACGTACTCCCAAGGGCCGGCCCCAGGTGCACCAAAGCTGCCTTGTGTTCACCTCTTTGCCATCCCACTGTTTTGCCTGTCCCTGCACCCAGGTCCTCTGCGTTCCCTCCGCTTCTCACGCTGAGCAGCCCCGTGAGCTGTGCTCTGGACCCCACCCCTCTCGAGTGCTCAAGGACCTTGCTCTGGCCATTGTCTGCCCCCGCTCTGGCAGCCTCACTCCCCCTACCCTACCAGTAGAGTATGATTCCGTCTTTAGAGGGCCACGCCCGCACCCCCTTCACCACAGGGACAGAGACACCCACCCCCTGAGCCTGTGCCTCCAGAGGCCTCCAGCGTCTGCCTCATTGTCTAAACCTCCACGCAGCAGTCCTCAGCAGAGCTGTCTATGCTTGCAGCCTCTCCCTCCTCTCCACGCACTGTCACCCTCAACCTCGCTAGTACACCCGTCACCACAGGCACCAGTGACCCGCCCCACACCTGCTGTCTCCTCCTCTCACTCACCACTCGGCAGCCCTGACACCGCTGACTGCCCCTCCTGCCCTTCCTCCCAGGTTTCCGTGTCGCATGCTTGCCTGCTCTGCCTACCTCCACATGGGCCACAGCTGCTCGGCCTCAACTTCCATGGCCAGCACAGACTCAGGTCCCCAAATCCACTTCCCTTCCACAAGTGGCTTTGCTACCAACCTGGTTGTTCTTGTCCCGGACCTAGCGGCCGCCCCTGCTCCCTTTCCTGCACCCACCACTCACGTCACATGGCTGCTATCTCCACAGCCTATCCTGAACCTGACCCCTTTCCCTCGTCTCCACGGCCACACTCTTGGTCCGAGTCCACAGAGTCCCACTGCCCTCTCCTGCAGTCTCCCCAACGGCCCCTGCCTGGCAGTGCCCCCACTGTGGCCAGAGTGGTTCTGGTCCAGGGGTGATGTGATCATGTCCTTCCCTTGCTGAAAGCTTCCAGGGGCTCCGCCCCCAACCAGCACGGACGCACGTCTCACCAGGGCCCACCGGGCCTCACGAAATCTGCTTCCCCCACCCCCCCACCAACAGCAGCCTGCTCTCCTCTCTCCCTTATTCACCACCCCTCAGCCATCAAGGCCTTCCGTCCTCCCCCAGAACATCTCGAGTTTGTTCCCATCTCAGGGGCCTTGTAGGTTGTGCTGCGTTGCATTGTACTCATGTTCTACCCCCACGCACACCCCAGCCCCACCATCCATGTATTGAAGTCTCATTCCCCAGTATGTCCGAACATGACCATATATGGAAAGGAAAGGTATTTCCAGAGGTAATCAAGTTAAAATGAGACCATGAGGGAGGACCTAAAGGTGCCCTCCTGTCTCGGAGGCACAGAGTACCTGCTCTGTGGACTTGGGATGACGCGCTTTCCCACTTGTCTTGGCTTCTTCACCTGCACAAAGAGGGATCGTGAGAACAGGTCGTTAGGTACAAGACAGCAATGTTGGCTAATGACCAGAACAGTCTGGTACTCAGCGGGGATTGCAGACCACGAGGACCCAGGAGGGTCCATCTGATGGGAAACACCTCACTTGGCTCACGGTTTGATCCTGCTAATCAATGCAGTGGTATCCCCCCACCCTCACTGGGCCAGGGTCCACAGGGCTGCCAACCAGCAGGCACAGAAAATCATTTCTTCTAAGTTCAAGTGGAGGGTGTCCTTACAGCCCAGCAGACCCGGAGTCCAATAGGAGAAAACTGTCAAGTCCTCCCACACTGTCCCATGGGCAGAATTTGGGGACCCTATGAACAATCCCATTCCCCTCAACATCATCCTGGGTGTGCCCAGCCCGGAGGGGTGCCACGGGCAACCAGCTGAACACCGCACAGCCAGGGGCCTCTGTGAGGCCACAGACCAAGGGCCATGCGGGAGGCGCTGAGCACAGGAAGGACGGCGCACCGGTGCGCATGGACGTGCACACTGGCGATTCTAGGCACAGACGAACGTCGCTGCTCCACGGCCGTGGAAGGATGGCGGGCGCGTGACGGTGGCGGGGTTGGGGCCGGGGCCGGGGCCGAGAAGGGTGGCCTCCGCCGCTCTGCTGGTGCTCCCAGGCACAGGGTCCGGGAAACCCCAGCCCAGAGGTAACCTTGCGCGCGGAGAGCAGAGCTGCTGGCATGCGCCTGGCGGGTTCCGACTTCCTTCGGACGGGCGGGGCGGGTCCCGCCGAGCGAGTGGAGGGCCCGCTCGGCTGACCAGGCGGCGGCCACATTGCACGACAGTCCTCCGCCTCCCCGTGGTCTCGTGAGGGTGCCCGCGCCAGGACCACCGCCTCCCACGCCCAGGCAAGGAGACGACGCGCTCCGCGGAGAGAGTACAGAGCGCCCGGCCCGCGTCGTGGCTGCCTCAGCGCCGTTGACACTCCCTCCGCCGCCCGGGCACCGAGCACCGGGGGCAGCTGACAGCTGTCCTTCACCCGGATGAGCTAGCGGAGATGGTGACGCCCCTCTTGTGCGCAGACTCGTAAACTCGTACGTACGTACGTACGCACGTGCAGGAGCGCAACCCTCCCTTACGCAGTCACGCAGCCTCGCAGCCGGGCAATTAATAGTCACGCGCCCACGTACACGCGCCCGTACGCTCGCAGGCCGCTTTGCTAACCGGCGTTGTTGGGCTCACTAGGCGCTGAGGCGCGCGGGAGGACGCGGCTGGGTCTGGGGCCCGCAACCGGCGGCCGCGAGCGGAACGGAAAGGAGGAAAAGGAACGGGGGCGGGAAGGGCAGGAAGGGGAGTGGAGAGGCCATTGTATGGGTGGAGCTGGGCTGCGGGAAGCTGGACGGGGGTGGAGCCGTGGGAGGAGCTGGGCCGAGTAGGGGGAGGAGTGGGACGGAGCTGGAGGAGGAGCGGAGCCAAGCTCCGAAACGAGTCGGGCAGAGCTGCAGCCAAGTAGGTGAGCGAGGAGCGGAGCGTAGGTGGCACAAAGCTGGGGACGAGGAGGTAGGGGAGGAGCAGGGCGTGAGTGGGAAAGGCGAGGCAGAGGCGGGGCTGGAACAGGAGCGGGGCGCAGGTTGGGGAGGAGTAGGGTGGATCTGGGGGAAAGCTGGGAGGAGCTGGGGGAGGCGGGGCCGGGGGAAATTGGGAAAGATAAGCTGAGGGAAGAGTGTGGTATAGCAGGAGAGGAGCAGCTTGGAACTGGGGAAAGCAGGGTAGCGACAGTCAGGGAGGAGTGGTGCGGAGCTGTGGGAAAGAGCTGTGGTAGAGGGAGGAGCCCAGTCGACCCAGGGAAACGCAGGTGAGGGGGAGCTGACGGTGGGGTGGGCGGGGCTGGAGAGCGCGTGGCGCCGCTGGGGAGGAGCTGGTTCGTGGATGGCCCACGGGAGGAACGGGGTGGGGCTTGGGGCGGAGCTTGGGGGCGGTCTGGGCAGGGGTGGAGCCAATGGGCGTGCGGGGCCGGGCTAGGGAGGGGCTGGTCTGGGTACGACGGTCGCCTAGTGGTGCTTGGGAGCGTGAGCTGGGGGAAAAGCCGGCTGGAGCTGGGGAAAAGCGTTGGCAGGATGAGCTGGCGGAGTGCGTCGTGGCTCGAGAGGAGTTGAGTGGGTGTGGAGCCAAGGGAGGAGCAGGGCGAGGCTTGGAGTGGCTGGGCGGAGGTGGAGGCAGTGGAGGAGCCGGGCGGGGCTCGGGAAGCGGGCTGGGGCGAGCTTGGGGGCTGCAGGCCGGGCCGGACGGGGAGGGCCGGGGAGGGGCAGCGCGGAGGGAGTCGGGGGGGTGGAGCCCTGGAGCCTGGGACCAGCGCGGCGGGTGGGCTAGACCCGCCCAAGGGCTGAGGCCCGCAAGTGCCCTATTTCCTCGTAGGATGTAGGCGTCCAGCTCGCTCCGCACCGGTAGGCAGCGAAGTGGCAGACCCGTCGTCCTCAGAGACCTAAACCGACCCTCAGGATGGAGCCCGGAGGACACGCAGGCAGGGAGAGGGCGGGATCTCTAGGCTGACTCCTGCACCTCCGGGCTGCGCGCCCAGGCCTCTCCTTCCTCCAAACCACCCTGGGACGGCCGGCGAGGTCCCGAGGGATGGTCTTTAGATGGCCATTTTTGCAGGGGGGAAGGCGAACCTCCACTCCTGTTTCCTGCTGCCCCTGAGAACTGACACGTCCCACACGAAGCCAGCTCCCCATCAGAGCGGTTTCCTGGCCTCTGCCTCTGTTAGGGGCTCAAACCCCTCACTGCGGCCACGCTTGGCTCTTTGGGCTCCCTTCCCTCCGCATTTCCTTGATGACCACGTCCTGTGTCCCTGCCTTCCAAATGCCTGATGAGAAGAAATGCTGCCCTTCCTGGTCCGCACTGCTGCTTGCTGAGTTCAGGCCTCAGGGTCTGGGCTGGTGCTGTTACCTGAGCCTCTCCCCTGGCTCTGATACCTCTTGTCTTTCCTCTTTCTCCGCAGTCACTTACCCAAAGTACTCAGTTCACCACAGGTACGTCTTGACGTCCTGTGAGTGAGAGTACCATAGATATCTTTTACAAAGCACAGGAATCTCTTCTGACCCACTTAATTTCCTCACCCTTTCCCCGAAGTGAAATCAGCACTTGTTACAGAAAACCGGAAAATCTGGACTGGTTTGCGGATGGAAGAACCAGTTGGCACTCCGAGGTCTTGGAGGGTGGAGGTTTATTTCACACCGGTGGGCTCAGAGGAGAGTGATATCCAAAGGTGTGAGCCCCGAGTACAGCAGGGTCATGTCTTTTATACATTTACTACAAAGCTAAGGGGGAAGTCAGCACCCAGAAACTGTTGCTGTAGCAGCTATTAGGTCACTATAGGTATATTCAGGATGCTAGCTATATTTTAATTTATTTCTATAAAGGTTACCCAGGTCCTGTATTGTAAACTAATGGGCTTCCATGAGTATGATTAACAAGCTGCTCCATACCAATCCTAGTGGGGGGATGCATTGTTACAGTGTGTTCATCCCAAGCACCTAAGCACCTTTGTGATTCCTTTATATTCTTGAAGGCTTAACAGAAACTTTGTCTCCTTGGCTTCCTACCAAACCCAGAGAGGGGGAGGGACTTGAGAACTTTCTGAATATTTCCTCATCACAATGAAAGTATAAGGACCACAGATAGAATCCTTAAGGAAAACAGGTTTGTGGACAATATTCTATTTGGGTATTTCCTCAAAGCTGGAGCTTTTCTCACATGAGACAAGCAGATTTCTAATCCCTGTCCAGCCCTGTGATCACAGCCTCCCCTGTGGCATAACCATGATTCTTAAAACAACTGCCCTGGGGTTGCCCTGGCTCCTAATGGCATTCAAGTGTCTGAACCTCTCTGGCTTCAGTTTGCCCATCTGTCAAACATAGTTAATAAAAACAGTCCTGGCCTCATGGGGTTACTAGGAGCACTGTATAGACCTGGGCTCAGCCATTACTAAGCTTCCTGAGGCTGTATTCAGTCCATGGTTTTTCCCAAGGTTGCCTTCTCCTGCTTTCTTCGTTGTAGGCACCCTTCTATTTTCACAGCCTGGACTCTTCCCCAGTCTACAGTGGTCTCAAGGCAGATGCTGTCCCTCCTCACTTCCTGTGTCCTCATGAAGCCTCCCATGTGAACATGGCTTCAGGGCCCACTCCTTCCTGACAACCTTTCAAAACCTTGTCTATAGTATTCTTTTTGTATAAGCTTATCTTGGGCAGTTTCTGTTTTCTGTGTGTATGTGTGTTCCCTGTTACCCAGCTAGACTGGAATCCTTCTGTGGATAAGGACCCTGCCCAGTTCACCTCATATTGTCCCCAGAGCCTGCTTCAGCCAAGGGAGACACTGGTTACTGCTGATGGCTATAAACTGTTCAGTTTGAGTCATCCAGCGTTCATCAGCTGACTTCCATGACAGTGACTCTATCATGTTGGATTTGGCAGATGGGTGAGACGGGCCCTGCCCTGCTGTCAGTGTGTGCTAGTTGCATAAGAAAGGCAAGTATGTCAGCAACTCTCATTTGAGGCAGGACTAGACACAGTCCACAGAAAGAACTATCTGTGCAGTGCTATGAGACTTTAGAAGAGGCCAGTTAGGATGCATCTCACTGGAGATCAGAGGGAGGCTTGCTCTGAACTGTGCAAAGAAGAATAGGCAGGTGTTTTTTTTTGTATCATTAATATAAAATCACATGAGCAACATTGTGGTTACTAGATTCCCCCCATTTTCAAGTCCCCACCATGTACCCCATTACAGTCACTGTCCATCAGCATAGAAAGATACTATAGAGCCACTACTTGTCTTCTCTGTGCTATACTGCCTTCCCTGTGCACCACCCCCATGTTATGTCTGCTAATTGTAATGCCCCTTATTCCCCTTATCCCTCCCTTCCAACCCACCCTCCCCAGTCCCTTTCCCTTTGGTAACTGTTAGTCCATTCTTGGGTTCTGTGAGTTGTCTGCTGTTTTGTTCCTTGAGTTTTTGCTTTGTTCTACTCCACATATGAGTGAAATCATTTGGTACTTGTCTTTCTCTGTCTGGCTTATTTCACTGAGCATAATACCCTCTAGCTCCATCCATGTTGCTGCAAATGGTAGGATTTGTTTTCTTCTTACGGCCGAATAGTATTCCATTGTGTGTTTGTACCACATCTTCATCCATTCATCTACTGATGGGCACTGAGGTTGCTTCCATGTCTTGGCTATTGTAAATAGTGCTGCGGTAAACATAGGGGTGCATCTGTCTTTTTGAAACTGGGCTCCTGCATTCTTAGGGTAAATTCCTAGAAGTCGAATTCCTGGGTCAAATGGCATTTCTATTTTGAGCATTTTGAGGAACTTCCATACTGCTTTCCACAACAGTTGAACTAATTTACATTCCCACCGGCAGTGTAGGAGGGTTCCCCCTTCTCGGCATCCTCGCCAGCATTTGTTGTTCCTAGTCTTTTCTGTGTTGGCCATTCTAAGGGATGTGAGGAGATATCTTATTGTGGTTTTAATGTGCATATCCTTGATGATTAGCGATGTGGAGCATCTTTTCATGTGCCTGTTGGCCATCTAAATATCTTCTTTGGAGAAGTGCCTGTTCATATCCTCCACCCTTTTTTTAATACAGCTACTGCTTTTTGGGTGTTGAGGCATGTGAGTTCTTTATATAGTTTGGATGTTAACCCCTTGTTGGATATGTCATTTACAAATATGTTCTCCCATACAGTAGGATGCCTTTTTGTTCTGCTGATGGTGTCCTTTGCTGTACAGAAGCTTTTTAGGATGATGTAGTCCCATTTATTCATTTTTTATTTTGTTTCCCTTGCCCTAGGAGATGCATTCAGGAAAAATTGCTCATGTTTATATTCAGGAGATTTTTGCCTATGTTGCCTTCTAAGAGTTTTATGGTTTCATGACTTACATTCAGGTCTTTGATCCATTTCAAGCTTACTTCTATGTATGGGATTAGACAATGATCCAGTTTCATTCTCTGGCATGTAGCTTTCCGGTTTTGCCAACACCAGCTGTTGAAGAGGCTGTCATTTCCCCATTGTATATCCATGGCTCCTTCATCATATATTAGTTGACCATATATGCTTGGGTTTATATCTGGAGAATAGGCAGGGTTTTGCACATGGTGATAATAGGAGTCCACTCTTGAGAGGTCACTTTAGGCTGGGAGGACAGGAGATCAAAGGTGACAAGGAAGAATAACCTAAGCAAAGGATGTGGATCAAGGTGCTTCCCACCACTTATCACTTTTGGTCCTTGAATCAACCTGGTGATGTAGGTGCTGGTACATCCACTTGACAGTTGAGGAAACCAAGAACACAGAGGCTGAGGGACTAGACTAACCTCACTTGGCCAGGGGCAGAGTTGAGACTCAAACTTAGGATTGGCCAAGCCAGAGTCTGTTCTGCTGCCAAACATGTTGGGAACACAGGGCATCCATTCCAAGCCTGCTGCCAAGGCTGTGGGCCTGCTGCCCTGAGTTATGTTCTGAGGTGGGCTGGCCCTGGGCCCAGTGTGTGTTCTTGCATCCTATCTGCCAAGCCAGACACTATCCTCAGGGACCACTTCGGCTCCTTCCAGCTTCAGTGAAGTGTGATTCAGGGACTTGGAGTTGTGTTGCTCCTGTGAGCTGGTCCACATTTCCTTCAGGTTGCAGGAGGGACTGTTACACTTGAACCAAAAGAGTGTGCATTTCCAGAATATACTTTATGATGGCAACCAAAGGGTCAACTCCATTTACTCAACCATGGTGGGTGCTCTCTCAGGTAAAGGAGAGGCTGCATCAGAGTGAGATTAAGGGCCTGCTGTGCTGCACAGCTCTCCAAAGGCA